TAGGCTTGGAATAAATCAGTTTATTCAAGCGTCTACAGGCGCAGACCGAAATTAGGTGTAAGTATTTAGGCCAAAATTCATCAAAAACTGCAGAATAACCGCGTAATATTCACAAGTTGCCAACAGGCAGTCATTAGTATAAATTAGATAATTATTTGCTGTACTGTCAGGCACTGCCTAAAAGCCCAGACACGTGTTTCGCCGATATTCTGCCGCTGCATGGTAGAAAGCAAACAGGCAATGCGGGGGCATCCACTCATAAGTTGGCCCTTCGCAGCTGTGCCACGCAGTGGCAGAATATCGGCATAAAACGTGTTCAGGCTTTTACCTAGTACCTGTGCTGCTAGTATGGTAAGTAGTCACCTATGCAGTTTGTCTTGCAAGACTTGCACCCTAATGACCGCACCCCATTTCTTTTAGATTTTTCTGCCCAGTGGTGCTATGAACACTTCATACAACATCGTACCATGAAGCGTGCTCGTGACATTCGCGACCAGTTCGTCAACCTGTTGGAACGGGTTGAAATTCTGCCAAAAAGCAATCCTGGCGACCACGTTAGCATCAGAAAGGTGAGTAGTAGTACTTTTACAGCAGTCGGCATTCTTTTGTGCCAGCGGCCAGTAGTCTGAACCGCATGTTTGCTTGCTTTTTCAGGCCCTGACTGCAGGCTTCTTCTACCACACTGCCCGCTTCACCGGCAATGGATACAAGACTGTGAAACATAATCATACCATCCACCCGCATCCTAACTCCGCTCTTGCCGAGGAGCAGCCGCGTTGGGTCATCTACCACGAGCTTGTCTTCACTACTAAGGAATTTATGCGTCAGGTCACGGAGGTGGAGCCGCGTTGGCTCCTGGAGGTGGCTCCGCACTACTACAAAGCGAAGGAGATTGAGGAATCTACGCGAAAAATGCCTAAAGTCAAGGGTGTGTCTAAGGCCGAACTCGATGCCCGTGAGGGTTGAGCACGGACTACCTACGCCAGACTACCACCCTCTTGTAT